TACCGCAAGAGACCATCCGGGAGCTTTATCGGTCTATGCCACGCCGTGTGGCAGCTTGTATCCAGGTTAGAGGCGGGTCAACACCTTATTGAACTTGTTACTGTAACTCTGCAATAAATTATTTATTCAATTGTTCTGAAATTTTAATTATTTACTATTCTGTACATTGTCTTCCTGTCCACCAATTTTCGTTTCAATCGGATAACTCCTTCATGGTACGTCGATTTTTTTATTATAGAGTGTATATATATACATGTATATTTGTAATGATTGCTCCTATTATTTTTGCCTGCAATCTTTTTCGAAAATAAAGTTAACATAAATATATTAGGCGTCGAAAATTGATACGTAAATGAAGAAAATATAAAAACGTTTTCGGAACAAGATTAAAAAAACTGCAACTAAAGCAAGACTAAACTACTCTACCATTAAGTGCTCGACTTCGCACAGACGCCCCCGGGCTACCAAAACGGGGGAGTCATCTACTCTAAGTAGATCAAAATTGTGATAGAATGTCTTCGGATAATTGATCACTTAAAAATTAATCATTTATGGATCCGAAATCTGGAACAATAATAAAGTCTCAGTCAAGTCTCAAGGAACCATAATCTTAACAGACTTTTAAAAAAATAGAACGAATTCCTCTTCTCTCCATAACAAAAGCTAACCGAACGAACTCGGCAGATGTACTACAAGCATTGGCTGGGACCATTCCATTAGATTTATTTTCATAAAAGCACTGAAGATACATACTTATCATTACCAGTCTTCCAACCATTACATCCCGCAGAATAAAAATCCCTAAATTTTGACAATTTGCCAACAAAAGATGGAATTGAGATATTTATGGACGATTCTAGGCTAATTTATAATGGTGAATACAAAATAGGACGTGCATTCGTAATCTATTTCGATGGCTGTCTTGTAGAGTCCCGCAAATTTGGACTTACAGATTATTCATCAGTTTTCACAGCAGAATTATAAGCAATACTTCAATCACTCCACTGGATACACCAAAATTATATCAATAGTTAAACAAACATATATTCTGACTTACACTGCAGTCAATCTTCTAGCCTTTAGCACAGCACAGAAACACGAATCATTACCCAGTTGAAATGAAAAAAAATACTTACATAAATATTACTAAATTCCACTGGATTAAAGCCCATAAGGGATATGAAGGCAATGAAGAAGCTGACAGACAGGCCAAATTTGCATGTCAAAAATCAACAATAGATCTATAAGACATACCATCAAAACAGACAACGAGAACAGAACTTATGAAGAATAATCTTTCAACACGGCAGCAAAGACGGGATGACAATAATAAGAGCTACCGTCTAACTAACCAATTTATCCCAGAAGTCAATAATCAAAAAATATATTCCAACTTCTAAATTAATCAATTTCTAACTAACCATGGAGCCCAGGGTAATTATCGGCCAAACATATTCGGAAAATACCCGAATTGTAATGTTTGCAACAGTTATGAAGATATAGAACACATATTTGCTGTCTGCCTGGTTAATAATAATTTAAGAACTTTACTATTAAATGAAACAGGAACCAAAAGAAAATAAACAAAGGCAGTGAGGAGATCTTTATTAAGACTTTTTGGAAAAGGCTTTGAGGATTTGGCCTGAACTCATCCTACACTTATGGTGACTTTCGCAATTCAGCCGTTTTAAAGTCATCCGTCTCTAATCTGCATCATCAGAATCTTTTTCACAGCAACGCCATTGGGAAGCCGGATGGGGATTCTCTTCCCTGGGATTTTCTGGATTCACAGACCGAACAGAATCTACGTGACTTCCATTTTTCCATTTAGGAAACATGAGTTAGTAGTGTGCCAGTGAAATGAGATACTGTGAAACGATGATACATGAAACAGTGAAATTTGTAAAATTTTAATTGGTAGACTTTTACTGTTCAATAATATGAAACACATAAAACTGTCTTATTTATGGTAAAAACTAAACTTTTGACTATTTTACAACTCCTTCCAACTGAAATGTAAGCTTTGAATAGACTTTTTATTTCTCCCCTATATTATTCTGTATACCTGTAAAGGCAATAATGTATTCATCTGTTTTCCTATCTCTTATCCTGCTTATATTTTATGTTGTATTCTAATTGGATTAAAAAACTCTGTCTGTCTTAGATATTGTTAACATCGTTTTAAATTTTTATTTTATTTCATTTTTATTTTAAGTCAAAATCTGATTTAATTTATGTTAGTCTTCTCATCCGAGCTTTATAATTAACCTTTCCAGCCTTCTGGTCGGAGGGAGAGGCAATAGATAGCAGTTGCTGCGCACAGCACCTGAACTTCTTTCGTTTCACAAGTACCATACGCTAACAATTAATATTCAATTTTAACCAACTCTCACATTGCAGCTTCACTGGTCAGTTCATCGATCTATTGTGTTGTCATCTTTCATGATCTTGAATTTTCTTCTTGGTGTCCTCTTCTTTTGTAATGACGCAGTCACGTGCGCGCACTTCATGTCAATAGTATTCCCTGGATGCCCCATATGGGGGCGGGATAGGGTTAAGCCGAGCTACTGTTTAATGCTCGACTTTGCTAGGTACCCGGGCTACCAAAGTGGGGGAGCCATTCAAGAGGCTCAAAATTGTGATGGCATGTCTACGGATAATCCTCAGGAATGTCTCCCAAACCGTTGCTAATTGCCCATTATAAAGCTCACGACGTAACTTAAGTATTACTTCTACACTCTTTGGAAACCGCCGTGGCTTACCCATAGGTGCCCACTGGGTAACGATAAGAGAGTAGCAATTCTGGCATTCCTGAGGCCAATGGGAAATAGACTCAAGTGCCCGCCATTAACCAAAAAAAAAACTTTACTAAATTTCGAAAGTGAAACGTGTCTTAAATTTTTCTTGAAACATTTATATTTTATTGTTAAAACATTTATATTTTATAAAAATTTAATATTTTTTAAACCAGAAAATAAATTATTAAAATTTAACTAGATGACTGCTCCCACATACATTAGGTTTATTTTACTGTAGTTAGAAGACTGGAGACATATCAACAAAAAGTTTCATATCCAGAGCACGAAACTTATGTATCACATAGCATTTTTAATGTGGATAATGTTGTGAAAAAATAGTAACCCATGAAAAATTTCTTTTCATTTTTTCTCCAATTTCATGGATTCCACTGAAACTTTATATTTTATGAAATTTGTTACTTCTTAATAATTATTCCTGAATGACGCTTACAGTTAGTCTATTGCTACGGTTTCCTTCTACAATTCTCTACCGTTCCATAAAAAATATTTCTTACTAATATTTTCATTTACAACTTATTCCCTGCGATAATTTGGAGAAATTTTAGATAAAAATACACTTTTTATGTTTGCATCGATTAGTTTTTAAAAATTCACGTGCCTTAAATATAACAATATATGTCAAATCTTTAATATCAAAACTAAATGTCAGTTCTTATTCTTTATTAGCTTGTGGAAGAAGCGATAAAACTTGGTATACCTTTCCATATCATTGACAAATCAATAATCTTTTTTCCCCTCAAAATAAATAAGCACACTCTTGTTTCCGAAATATCTGTCTCCAGTTGCACATTATCAATGCAAAAGCTGATGATATGGAGCTATTGTTTCTTATCAAAATGCTTTTTAACTTTATTTTTCATCTATCAGTTACCTTAATTTTAAAAAAAACATCCAATTCTTCTTGCTTATCGCTTCATTTTGAAAGATTATTTTCAGTTCAGAGAAAAAAATTCTTGCTTTGTCTGTACTTTACTGAAATATAAGAGTTTTGATTAATGCAAAAATAATCCCGCCATCTCAAAATCTGATTGTTTCAGTGTTTAGTTTATAAATATATATCATTTTATGTTTGTAATATTTCTTCGTAAATAAAATTTTAAAGAAAATTACGAATGACCATATTCAATTATGGGGGAAAAAATTTGATATTATCGAAATTGGTTTTAAATATGCAAACATAATGCAAACAAAGATACAAACAAATGAAAATAAATCCTTACTCAGTATCATTCATAAATTATTTTCATACGTTGATCTATATTTTTGGGAAAGTTTTCCCATCTTAGAAGT